CCGGCAAGGGAATGGGTGGTAGAAGCCGCATTAGAAAGAACACAGAATGGTAGTATTCGTAGTAATACTAGTCGCTGTCGTAGGCGTAGCAGTAGTAATAGTGATACCAGTACTAGTATGACCAGCGCACTCTACTCGTAGTCATAGAAGAAGAAGTAGAAGTATAACTAGTAGTAGTAGTGGTAGTAGTAGTAGTAGTAGAAGTAGTAGTAGTAGTAGTAGTAGTAGTAGTAGTAAGGGTAAGAGTAAGAGTAATAAGGGTCGTAGTGGTGGTCGCAGTAGTAGTAGTAGTAGTAGCAGTAGTAGTAGTAGTAGCAGTAGGAATCGTAGTAGTAGCAGTAGTGGTAGTAGTACTAGCAGTGGTAGTAGCAGTAGTAGGTGTAGTAGTAGTATTCGTAGTATTCGTAGTATTCGTAGTATTCGTAGTAGTAGTAGTAGTAGTAGTAGTAGTAGTAGTAGTAGTAGTAGACGAAGTAGTCGTTGTAGTAGTAGTGTAAGTAGTAGAGGGTACTACTAGTAGTGGTAGTAGTAGTAGTAGTAGTAGCAGTAGTGGTAGTAGTAGTAGTAGTCGTCGTACAGAAAAGAATAGACGCAGTAGTAGCAAAGGTAGTGGTAGTCATAGTGGTAGTGGTAGCCGTCGTAACCATGAGAGCAGCGGTCGTCGTAGTAGTAGTCGTGGTAGTAAGTCGGCGTGAGGGTAGTTGAGGAAGACATCTTAGTGGTAGTGGTAGTAGTAGAAATAGTAATCGTCGTCTTCTTGGTCGACGTAGTTATCGTAAGATCAGTACGTTTACAACAAGTGACTCAGTGGCAGTAGTAGTAGTGGTACTAGTAGTAAAAGTAGTTGTGGTAGTAGTAGTAAAAATAATAGTGGCCGTATTAGTCGTAGACGCAGTCGTAGTCGTGATCGTAGTGATAGTAGTAACCGTAGTAGCAGCAGTCGTCGTAGTAGTAATCGTGGTAGTAGTATTACTAGTGCATAGTAGTGGTAGTAGTAATTATAGTAATAGTAAAAGCAGTAGTACCACTAGTAGTAGTAGCAATAGTAACGGCAATAATAATAGCCGTCGTAGTCAATCGCTCGTGGTTGTCGAAGTAATATGAGTGATAGAAGTAGAAGTAGTCGTAGTAGCAGTAGTGGCAGGCGTGGGCGTAGTCGTAGTAGTAGTATTGGTGGTAGTAGTAGTAGTAGTAGTAGTAGTAGTAGTAGTAGTAGTAGTAGTACCAGTAGCAGTAATAATGGTAGTAGTAGTAGTAGTAGTAGCAGCAGTAGTAGTAGCAGTAGTAGTGGTAGTAGTAGTAGTAGGGGTGGTAATAAGAATCGTAACAGTAGCGGTAGTAGTGGCACCCGTAATAATATTTGACCTAATAGTACCAGTAATAGTCGTAGTAGAAGTAGTAGTAGCAATAGTAGTAGTGGTGACAGTAATGTAGACCAGCAATAATAATAGTAGCAGGCATCATTGGCAACATCTGCAGCAGAGGTGGAATAATAAGCAGCAGCAGTAGCAATTGTTACTAGCAGCTAGAAGTAGCCTCTTAGCAAACCCAAGCATATATCAAGACAAGTAGAACCAGTAGCAACAGCGATAAGCGCACACGGATTCCGTTGATAATGATCCCGAGGGGGGGTGGGGGGGCGCGCCTGGGGGACTAAGGAAGGGGGAGGATAGGAGGAACGTGAGGGAAGATGACGAGTAGTACAAACACCAATATTTAAAGTAATAATAATAACAACAATCGTAGTAATAATGGTAGCAGTAGTAGGTGTAGTAAAACTAATGATAGCCGTAATTGCGGATGTAGTAATAGGAAGACAAATATTTACAGTAGTGGCAGTCATAGTAATAGTAGTAGTAGTAGTAGTAGTCGTAGTAGTAGTAGTAGTAGTAGTAGTAGTAGTAGTAATGCTAACCTTACTAATAATAATGGTCGTAGTGATAGAAATAATACTAGTCGTCGTAGTCGGATTCGTAACTGTTGCACTCGTAATAATAGTAGTCGTAGTAGTAGCAGTCGCACGGGTAGTAGAAACTGGAAGAATTGAAACATGGATGGTCGTCTTCGTAGTAGTAGTAGTAGTAGTAGTAGTGGTAGTAGTAGTAATAGTAGTAGTAGTAGTCGAAAGTCGTAGTGCCATGTATTGGTAGCCGCAGCACCAACAGCACTTATAAGCATAAAATGTAGGAGTAATAGCAACACGCGTGGTAGAAGTTGTAGCAGAAGTCGTATAAGCGGCAGTAGTAGCACTAGTAATGGTAATGCGAGCAGTCATAAGACAAGCAAGTCCAAGTAGTAACTGCTAGTTGTTGGCCGTTCTAGCGTTCGTTCTACAAGTGTTGGTAGTAGTAGCACTAGTAACCGTAGTACTAGCAGTAGTCGTGGTAGTAGTAGTGGTAGTAGAAGTAGTAGTCGTGGTGTTCGTAGTAGTTCGTAGTAGTAGTTGTAGTAGTAGTAGTAATAGTAGTAGCAGTCGTAGTAGTAGTAGTAGTAGTAGTAGTAGTAGTAGTAGTAGTGGTAGTAGTAGCAGTAGTAGTAGTAGTAGTAGTAGTAGTAGTCGTGGTGATAGCAAGATTATCAGCAGTAGTGGTAGTGGTAGTACTAGATTTAATCGGAATACGAGTCGTACAAAAAACAACTGAGGGTAAAAGAAAAAGAAGGGAGGAGAAGAGAGGGACGCGCCAGATCCGGTCTCCAGAAAATCTCAGATTCGGGACATAAGGTTTTCTTAATATGCAGCTTATTGTTTATTGGTGTGTGTTGTGTTTGACGTCCACGTGTCTGGGAGCTCACTGAGGGATGTTTTCGTTGAAAAGAATCTCTGGGGATGAACAAAAGTTGTGGGAAAGGGTCTGGGGGAGGAGGGGCGGGACAGGACAGGAGGAAAAGAAGTGAAGAGGGGATAGAAGAAGGTAGTAGTAGTAGTAGTAGTAGCACCAGCAGCACAAGCAGCAGCAGCAGAACAAGTAGTAGTAGTAGTCGTAGTAGTAGTAGTAGTAGTAGTAGCCGTGGCAGTAGTAGTAGTAGTAGTAGTAGTAGTAATAATAGTAGAAGTAGTTACAATAGAATGAGTACTGGTACGAGTAGTCAACAAAATTCTGGTAGTAGTGGTAGTAGTAGCAGTAGTAGCAGTAGTAGTAGTAGCAGTAGTAGTAGTAGAAGTAGTAGTAGTAGTCGAGATAGTAGTAGTAGCAATCGTAGTATTAGCAGTAATACTCGGAATAGTAGCAGTAGCAGTAGCAGTAGCAGTAGTAGTAGTAGTAGTAGTAGTAGTGGTAGTAGTAGTAGTAGTAGTAGGAGTAGTAGTAATCGCAGTAGTAGTCATAGCAGTAGTAGTTGGAGTCGTCGTCGTAGTAATAGTAACTGCAGTAGTAGTAGTAGTAGTAGTCGTAGTAGTCGTCATCGTAGTTGTAATAGCTGTAGTAGTAGTAGTATTAGTAGTAGTAGTAGCAGTAGTAGTAGTAGTAGTAGCAAATAATAGTAGCAGTAGTTGTAGTAGCTTTCGTAGAAGTAGTCGCAGCAGTCGTAGTAGTAGTAGTAGTAGTAGTAGTAGTAGTAGTAGTAGTAGTAGTAGAGTGGTCGTAGTAGTCGTAGTAATAGTCGTCGCCGAGGTAGTGGTAGTAGTAGTACTAGTAGTCGCAGTATTCGTAGTAGTTGTAGTAGTAGTAGTCGTCGTAGCAGCAGTAGTCGTAGTAGTACTCGTAGTCGTAGTAGTAGTAGTCGTAGTAGTAGTAGTAGTAGTAGTAGTAGTAGGCGTAGTAGTAGTAGTAGTAGTAGTAGTAGTAGTAGTAAGCGTAGTAGTTTTTGTAGTAGTAGGAGTAGTAGTAGTCGTCGTAGTAGTAGCAGTATTAGTAGTAGTAGTAGTAGCACAAGTAGTAGTAGGAGTAGTAGTAGCAGCAGTAGTCGTAGTGGTACTAGTAGTCGTAGTAGTAGTTTTCGTAGTAGTAGTAGTAGTAGTAGTAGTAGTAGTAGTAGTGGTAGTGGTAGTGGTAGTGGTAGTGGTAGTGGTAGTGGTAGTAGTAGTAGTAGTAGTAGTAGTAGTAGTAGTAGTAGTAGTAGTAGTAGTAGTAGTAGTAGTAGTTAAGTAGTAGTAGTAGTAGTAGTAGTAGTAGTAGTAGTAGTAGTAGTAGTAGTCGTAGTAGTAGTAGTAGTAGTAGTAGTAGTAGTAGTAGTAGTAGTAGTAGTAGTAGTAGTAGTAGTAGTAGTCGTAGTCGTACTAGTAGTAGTAGTAGTAGTAGTAGTAGTAGTAGTAGTAGTAGTAGTAGTAGTAGTAGCGGTGGCAATGGTACTTGCCAGATGCAGTTGTAGCTGCAGTAGTACTACCACGACTATGCGGGCGGTCCCAATGGGGGCTTCTGTGGAGCTCCCTGTGGGCCACGAAACGCTGTATTGGTTGAGGAAAAATGCCAAATTGGGTTTTCGGGACGCATGCGGGCGGTCCCACTGGGCGGCTCGGTGGAGCTCCTTATGGGGCTACGAAACGCTGTACTGGGTGGGTGAAAATGCCAGCTTGGGTTTGCGGGACGCGTGCGGGCGGTCACACAGGGGGCTTCGGTGGAACTCCCTATGGGGCCACGAAGCGCTGTACTGGGTGGGTGAAAGAATATGCCAACTTGGGTTTCCGGGACGCGTGCGGGCGGTCCCACTGGGGGCTTCGGTGGAGCTCCCTATGGAGCCACGAAGCGCTGTACTGGGTGGGTGAAACGCAGGGAGGAGGGGGAGGAGGGGGAGGAAGGAAGGAGGGAGGAGGGAGGGACGCAGGGACCACAAGATGGTTGGGTAAGAATTCGATAGTACTTGGGAGTTGTTGAAAGATCGCCCCCAGACTATATTTTGACCATTTTTGAATGTTCCTCCGGTAGAGGGACAAGCCCGATTGAATGCCAGGCAGTGGTTGCACCCCGGAGGGCCGCCCGGCTTGAGAGGCCGCCGTGGCCGCCCGGGCGAGAGGAGCGTATGGAGAGAGCGCGCGGGCGCGGGCGCGGGGCGGGCGGAGGGGCGAGACGCCGTTGTGCCTCGTGAAGGTGTAGCCCTCCACGGGGTCCTGCCGCGCCCAGCGCTCCCCGAGGCGCAGGCCACGGGCGGGAGGCGGCCAGGGCTGCGTCGTAGTGGGGGGGCCTCCGCCGCGGAAAGCGACCGCTGTGCGCGGCCATGGGGGTCCGCTCTTCCGGGGAGGGAGCGCAGGTGGAGCGTGGAAGCACGGCTGTGGGGCGGCACTGCTCCGGACTACCAGCGAGACTGGCTGCGCCAAAAACAAGGTCCAACGCACACCGAGGGGACCGTTGAAGCGTCGAACGCTTAACCGGGCGGACTTGCGAACGTTCCCTCCCCGTTCTCCCTAGCATTCAGGATACCACATGCGTTCTGGAGGTTGGCGAACCGCCGAGCGGTATCGCTAAGACCCTGGATAATAAATCAGTCAATTAATTCTGCGGGGGGCGGCGTTGGGAGCAGGGTGGATGACATAGCCAGAGAGAGGCCTCAAGAGTCTCGCAAACAATCCAAACACCTCAGGCAACCGAGAGACACTCCATTTTATCTATTAGACATATGTATAGATTCAAGACAGACCTGAGATGATCTGAGAAAGTTCCTCCTCTTTACAAGGTTTCTCATCCGCCCGCTGAAATATCACCCCCAGAAACATCACAGTACCCCCGTTGCATCGCCAACGTTATGTAGCATCCGTTTTCGGAATTCACATGCCCCCCATGTTCCTCAGCAGCAGTGGTAAGAGTTCTTATGTAGATGACACAAAGAGAATACGGGTGAAGAGCGCTTCCTTCCCACAATGGTTAATTCGCTTCAGACTCCCTTTGCTTAGGTGATGCCGTCCTACGCTCAGCCTCGGCGTCGGCTGGAATCCTCTAGCTTGCACCACCACACGTCCAGCTCCCATGGCCACGCGTTGAACATATAGAGAATGTGTCAGGCATTGCAGTGCCGACAGCACGTAGAGACCCTGTCGGATACTAGGCATGTTGCTAGACATGTCTCCAAAAGCACGCTGTTCTGGAGCGCCCCGGAGTTTATACAGCATGAGCCGTAACTTAGAGACATTGTCAGGGATGGAAACGTCTTGCGGGGCCGCGCACCCCCCCCCTATCACGAAACAGGCATGGCCACGTGCGGGCTTCGCCCCGACGACGGCATCCAGAGGGCCCAGAATACCTAATGACGCTTCCAACATGGCCCCACGATCCAAGAATTCAGGGCTCAAGATCTAAAATCCCATGATGCTCCTGAGGATGCCCAAAGAGCCCAAGAGAATTCAAGACTCCAAAACAGGCCCCAAAAATCATCGCAGGACGTACCCACTACTTAGGCTACCCGGGCTGCAAGACCCTCAACTCAATGGCTGCTCGAACTTGCTTCCAGACTCCTATGGTGGCCCCTCGAGACGTACAACGTCGAGAGCCTGGCGAGAATCCAAAAAGACCCTCCAGGGCACAAGGCAAAAGAGAATGACCGCTTCTTCAATGGCCTCGGTACGTAGTTCGGATTCGCTCTCAAACTCTCAGATGCTTCGCGATGGTCCGTAGCGCATGTCCTGGGCGGCTCAACGAAATCTCCGGGGCCGTCGTCTTGGGGACTCTGGGAGTGACCAACGAAGCAAGCATCGTTGAAATACATCGGAGGGCTGCGTGATTCGCGCATTGCAGCTTTCACGGTGTACGGACGCCCTCGACGGTGGAAGAAGCCCACAAGATTGATGCAATAGATCGGGGATGGACAGACCTCCCTTTAGTAAAACGTAGTTTAATGAAAACGACCTCGGGCCGAAACCTGGCGGGCGCAAGCCTGGAAAATAACGGCCGCGGCGCCCTCTCGAGAACCGAAAACGGACAATTCGCTAATAGACGTGTCACTGTTGGGGGTTCTGTCCACCCCCGAATAGAGCTCCAAGACCCTTGGCCCACAGACCAGGCACTGTGGTGGAGTGGGCCGCAGGCTGTTTTGTCCTTCTCGAGAAGAAGGAGGGGTGCCCCTTTTTCCGTCCGAAGTTTGGGGGCGAGATCCCCCTGCTGGGCCCCCTTACTATAGTTGAGCAGTTGAAGTGCTGAAGAAGCCCCAGGACACACAAACAAATACACACAGATGAAAATACTCCCAATATTTTCCCATATTTTCTGGGATTTTGTCTTCCCCCCCACTACCCATATTTTCGCATATTTTCCTGGGGAGTCGACGATTAACTGTGTCTGTGTGTTTTTTCCCTCCTGAAAGTACTGAAGAAGCCCGTGCCCCTCTGGGGCCAGGCGCGGTCGTTCTCTCGACGCCGCGCCTGCACGCAAGGCACATGCCGTGACGGCGCGGCCTCCGGCGGGACCGGTCAACATCGGACCGAGCAACTCGACCAGATCGGAGCGTGCGTCGGATCGGCATGCATCGGCACCGAGTCGAAATCAAATCGGATCTGCTGGGCTAGGATGCGCCACAGCGCCACCCACGCATCGGGCTGCATCGCATCGTCGGCATACTGGGATCGGATCGGATCGCACCATCCGAGATCGGCATCGAAGCGACTCGATCCAGTCGAGTTGCTGTCACCGCGAGAGCCGCAAAACGCGGTCGAAAGTCCCCAAAAAGGCCGCCAAAGAGTTTCAACCGTGGGATGCAAATGGGGGGATAAGTCCAGATGGGGAGAGAGGCGCAACCGAGGTACAAATTGTACCTACGCCCCACGGAGAAGGTACAGTTTGTACCGACGCCACGCAGACAAGGCACAAATTGTACTTTTGACAACGTCCGCGACATGTGCGAGGATGTTAACGGGGGGGAGAAGGTACAAGTTGTTCTTGCAACCCGCAGAGAAGGTACAATTTGTGCCCCAACAAAACGGTACCGGATACTCATCCCCCCCATGTCCTGATCCCCCCATCGCCATCCGGCCGAAACCGCTCCCGCGCTGCCGCGGAGCCTGCACGGATCGAGCTGCGGCACCCCCTTCACACGCTTGCGTTTCGGCGGGAGGACGAGAGACCACCGTCTGACGACGCCCACGCCTGTCCGAACACCGCGCCCACGCTGCTCCCGCACGGCTGGCGCACCTCGCTCGCCGACGCCTGTCTGACGCGGCCGCGCCGCGTGCAGCCGGAGGATGGGGGAGCAAAAGGACGGCGAAACCGCAAGGGATGGGGATGGGGATCTGGCATGGCCTTGGCCCCACTGGCCGACCTTCCCTCCTGGATGGATATATATATATATATATATGCCGCTCCGCTTCGGTTCCGCGGGGCCTTTCCCACCCAGGGGCTGGGCTGGTGGGGCTAAGGCGCAGTAGCCCAGTGGGGATAGGGGTCGGTTAGACGATGTTGAGAGAGGGGGGAAGAAAGTTCAGAGGGAGGCGAGGGGCGGGGTTGAGATAGTACGAACACTTGGAGGCCTGGGAGTTTGCACCCGCACCATCACAGGGTGTTGTTTCCAGCAAGGGAAAAAGATCCTGGTAGTTGGTGCTGGTGGCAATCTCTCGGCCATCGAAAATACGCGGAGATAACCACCATCGCACGAAATCAAGATCATCTTTCTTCTGGAGGCAATCGCCGATACCGGTGTTGGTGCCAAACTCGGGCCTCAGGAGGAGGCCAGGGTGACTACCAACTATGCGTCGGGGAGTTTCCCACCCCCGCCCGCCAAGTAGGTCCTCGTGTCTTCCAGCGCTGGAGCCGAACGGGGAGTAGCCTGCCGTCGCACAAGGAGGGAGGGGGAGGCAAAGCGAGGAGACGAAAGAAGCAGAGGAGGAGATGAGGAGGAGGAGGAGGATCGAGGAAGGGGACAAAGGAGGAGGAGATGGAAGAGGAATGAGGAGGAGACGGAGGTTGAGGAGGAGGATGAGGATGCGGTTAGGGAGGAGGAGGAGGCGAAGGAGGAAGGGAGGAGAATGAGAGATGTGCATAGAGTATGTGTGTGCGTGTGGTGCAAACTATCGTGTCTCTTCGGGGTGGCCCGGGCAACGGACATGAAAGACCCCGCATGGTGAAACAAAGTATCGATATCGGATGGGCCGGGACGCCCAAACTAAGTGCATCCCTGCCCCCCTCCTCCCCTTCTCCTCTTCCTCCCCCCAGTTAGATGTCCTGTGCATGAGCTGCTGTGCACCAGTGAAGGAAGGCCATCGAGGGTAGGGGCGGGTAATTAGGAGGAGGTAGTGGGGGTGGGGATGAGGGGATCTATGGAGCAGGCGTATCAGATTTAACGTCAGTGACGCCTTCGAACACCTGTCGACGAGTGACGATCGGGCTCTTGTTGTGCTTGTTACGACTTGAGCCTGCTGTACCACCGAGGGTCACAAAGGAAGAGGAAACGGGAGGAAGGGGAGGGGGAGAGAAACCATGTAGAGCAACATTGGACAAGTATATCCATGTGGTGATGGTGCTGTTGATGATGATGCTCGTGATGGTGATTATGTTGCTGATGATGGTGATGCTGATGATGCTCATGAGCCCTCCCTCCCTCTTATCGATGATCCTCAGAACGTGCGTTAACGCTAACTTGTGTTTATCCACCGAAGCTCTTCGGTAAGTTGCACGCTGTGTAAACGCACATCTGCGCGCGTCACAGAGCGTCTCGGCACGCTGGTGGATCGCAGGTGCCGCGCGCGAGGTTAAGTGCGAAAAACGCGGCTGACTCAGATTTGATCGGCTGGAGAAACACCCTCGTGCGTCGCGAGAGCCAAACTTTGCCACAAACCGCGCAAATAACTGACGGAGCCGACGGAACGTTTACGTCACTAACGGGGGAATCCCGCTACTAACGGAAACGTTACGTCGGTAACGGAAAATTGCGTCGGTTTCTCTGAACGACCAGAAAAGATACTATTTCTACGTCAACAACCACCCTCACTGACGGAAAGGGTTACGTCAGTAACGGAAGGTTGCGTCGGTAATGTGCACCAGCTGTCGCCGAATAGGGGCGAGGGGCAGGAGCGGGGAAGAGGGAGGAGGGGATTAAGGAGGCGGAGGAAATGAGAGGACAAGGGCGGGAGGAGGAGCTGAGGGTC